TTAGCTGGTCTTAGACATGGTGATACAAAAGCCAGAAAATCCAGGCTGGCCAAAAAGCAAATTGAAGGATTTTCAAATCTCTACCAGAAATATCTGATTTGTACTAGCCTTGAGTTCTTCCTGTTTTCATGGTTCGCAAAAAGCTTTTAAAGTGCAATGACTGCTTATTAGTATCCCAAGGACAGTTCAAAAACAGGCCAAGGTATACCTAGACATCTAGTGAAGATAACTGTAAGATATAGGAGCAGAATGAGGTTATTCAGCCCATCGAGTGCTCCAGGAATCAATCGTGGTGGATGTGTTGCTCAACCCCATTCTGCTGCCTTCTCCCAGTAACCTTTGATCCCCTTACTAATCTATATCTGTGCATATCTATTTTAAAGGCACTTAATAATTTGGCCTCTACAGCTTGCTGCAACAATGAGTCCACGATTTGCAATGCTCTGGCTGAAGAAATTCTCCCTCATCTCAGTTCTAAAAGGTTGTCTCTTCACTCTGAGGGTGTGCCCTTGTGTCCTAGACTGTCCTAATGGGAACGTTTCCACATCCACTCTGTCCAAGTGTCTCCGTATTCAGTAAGTTTCAATGAGATCCCCCCCCACTCCTCATCCTTCTAAACTCCACTGGGTACAGACCCAGAGTCCTCAGCCACTCCTCATATGACAAGCCCTTCATCCCTGGGATCATTTTCATAAACCTCCTGTAGATTGCCCTGCCAATATCAGGACATCCTTAGATACAGGGTCCAAAATAACACTCGATACTCCAAATGCAGTCTGACCAGAGCCTTATACAATATCAGCATTACATCTCTGCTCTTGTATTCCAGCCCTCTTGAAATGAATGCTAACGTTGCATTTGCCTTCCTAGCTGCCAGCTGGGCCTGCATGTTAACCTTTAACAGAATTCTGAACTAGGATCTCCAAGCCCCGTTTGTGCTTCAGATTTCCGAAGCCTTTCCCCATTTAGAAAATAGACTGTGCCTCTATTGTTCCCGCCAAAGTGCATAACCTCACACTTTCCTACATGGTATTCCATCTGCCACTTCTTTGCCCACTTTCCTAGCCTGTTCAAGTCCTTCTGCAGCTCCTCACTTCCTCAATACTACCTGCACGCCCCCACCTATCTTTGTGTCATCTGCAAACTTAGCAATAATGCCCTAGTTCCTTCATCCAGAACGTTCATATATAATCTGAATAGTTGTGGTCCCAACACCACCGCTGCGAAACTCCACTAGTCATTGGCTGCCATCTTGTGGGGGGGAAGAAAAAACACTTTATTCCTACTCTCTGCTTTCTGCCAGTCAGCCAATCCTCTATCCACGCCAATACCTTGCCCCGAGCACAATAGGCTGTTATCTTATTTAGCAGCCTCTTGTGCAGCACCTTGTCAAATGCCTTCTGGACACAAAAGACATGTAGGATAGGTCATGCGACTGAGTAAAAATGGAGTACAATGTTGGAAAATGAGGTGGTCCATTTTGGTGGGGAAATGTAGCAGAGCAGAATATTATATAAATGTGTGTTACAGTTGCCGTGCAGCCATAGCAAGTAGTTAAAAATACAAGTAGAATGCTAACCTTAATTAAAAGGAGAATAGGGTGCAAAAAACAGGGGCATGTCATAGTCATAGTTATACAGCATGAAAACAGACCATTTAGTCCAACCAGTCCATATTGAATATACTCCCAAACTAAACTAGTCCCACCTGTCTGCTCCTGGTCCATATCCTTTCAAACCTTTTTCATTCATGTACTTATCTAAGTGTCTTTTAGATGTTGTAATTGTGTCCACATCCACCGCTTCCTCAGGAAGTTCATTTCACACGCAAACTATCCTCTCTGCTTCTTTTTAAAAAAAAAACAAAAATTGCCCCCCCTGTTTTTAAAATCTCTCTCCTGTCACCTTAAAAATGTGCCCCCTAGTCTTGAAGTACCCCATCCTGGGGGAAAAAAACACCTACCATTAACCCTATCTAAACCCCTCATGATCTTTATAAATCCCTGTAAGGTCACCTTTCAACCTCCTACGCCCCAGTGGAAAATGGCCCAGCCTAGTCAGCCTTTCTTTTATTACTCAAACTTTCCATACCTGGCAACATCCTGGTAAATCTCTCTGAACCCTGTCCAGCCTAATAACCATTCTGTAACAGGGTGACCCCCCTCCAGAACTGGACGCACTATTCCAGAAAAGGCTTCACCAATGTCCTGTACAGCCTCAAGTTGACTTCCCAACTCCTGTACTCAAAGGACTGAGAAATGAAGGCAAGCATACTAAACGCCTTTTTAACCACCCTGTCTGTATGTGATGCAAATTGCAAAGAATTATGTATCGGGCCCCTAGTTACCTCTGTCTTTTAGCTGTGCAAGGCATTTATGAGACTGCATCTGGAATATTGTTCAGTTTTGGTTTCCTTACTCAAGGGATATACTGCTTGTATGGTTCAGGAATGTTCCCAAGGGTTGAATTTTGGGAAGAATGAATTAGCATTTGAGCAAAGAAGATTGTGCAATTCAGGCTTGTATTGAATGAATGGTAGAACGGAGAGTGGGCCTGGTGATCCAGTTGATCATCACATATGAATTTAATGGGATTTGAAAAGGTAGATTCTGAAACTGTTCCTCTTGGTAATTTATTGAACTCCAAGGCCGAGTTTCAAAATGAAGGATATTGTAATTGAGAGATGAGAAGGAAGTTGAAACAAACACAGAATGCTGGAGGAACTCCAGCAGGTCTGGGAGCATCTACGGACAGAGAGATGTTAATGCTTAGAGTCCAGTGTGACTTTTCTCTTAGATGATTGCTAATTTACTCTACAAAGTAATGGCATTTGGGCCATTGAATGTCTTCATGGCTGAAGTAGTCAGATTTTCTATTGATCTGGAGAAAGCTGTGATGGGGCACAGGTAGGAAATTGAAGAGGAGGCCACATATTGTATCATCTGTGACACTTTTTAAATGGTGAAGCAGGACCAAACAGCCAAATGGCTTACTCCTATTCTTGTTCTGTTCATTAGAACTTCAAGACCATATGTTATGATAGTATATGACATGAGAGTTCCTGTTATTGATTGCAGATCATTTATGATTAGCGTAAACAATGTTCATTCTGCTGATCATTGCCAAATTGCAATAATGGACTTCAAAGCAAATTGAAACCAATTGAAAATGGGAGTTGTATTTTGTTTAAGAAATGATTCGGGCACTGGGTTGATTATAAAGCCTCTGTGGAATCTGTGGGGTGGGATAATGGTTTACAGCCGTTGTTTCCACTGTTCTGAACTGTCACTGGGCCGTACCTTGGGTTTATTGTTTGTGACTGTTCCCGAGAGTTCACTATTTCCATAACCACCCTGCTTCAAAAGGTCAGCACTTTATAAGATGCTGTCATTTTATTTTGAGAAGTGAGAATTGTACAAACGAGGATGCAAAGAAAAACGTTTTTTTTTTCAGATGTGTCTTGTGTTTGCATACTGTACAAAGATTGATTTATTATTCAGAGCAGTCAGTTGTAATCAGCATTCAACATTGGAGGTTGCTCCACGGCCTACGTTTATTGCAGAGCTAAATGTGGTGCTGTAAATTGATTCATCCCTGTAGTTTCAATGAAAGTCAAGGGGAGCATCTCAGATTGTAATTGCATGAGAGGAGAAAAGGGAAAGGTAGGAATGCAGTCTAGAAATAGAAGAGATTGGCTAGAATATTGAATGCTGAATTGATGTGCTCTTTTGTGTTGAGGTGTTGTTCTGGTTTACTGGAGTATAGGGTAATGTCTAAAACTTTGTTGCAAATCGCACTGCATTGAAAAACCGTGTTAAAACCGCAATTAATGGGGAAACACTATAAACAGACTATGATAGTGATTAAGTAATGTCTCATTTTAAATACACCAAGTTCTTATGTACAAAGCAGATTTTTAAAACTGTTTTTTAAAAGATCTAAAATTGTAACTGTTTTCATGAAGCACTGTATTCCTCCAATTCAAGCCTTTTGGGCACGCTCACACACACAACCACTGGTAGTCATACCTCTTGCTGCAGAATCCCTGTGATTTGGAATTCCATCCCTAAAGCCCTCTGCCTCAAAGCAGGAAAGAGAGTCTTTCCTTAAACCCTATCTCTGACCAAAGGTTTGGCCACCTGTGCTAATACCTTTCTATGTGACTTGGTTTTTGTTTTTCATTCATAATGTGCTTGTGAAGCACTTGGGATAATTTACCATAGAATCTTTACAGTGCAGAAAGAGGCCATTCAGCCCTTTGAGTCTGCACTGAGCCTCTGAAGAGCATCCCGCCTAGACCACTCCATCCCTTCGCTGTAACCCCACATGGGGAGTTTATCATGGCTAATCCGGTAACCTACACCTCCCTCGACACTATGGGCAATTTGGCATGGCCAATCCTCCTAACCTGCACATCTTTGGACTGTGGGAGGACCTGAAGGAAACCCACTCAGACATAGGGAGAACGTATAAACTCACCACAGGCACCTGATGCTGGAATCAAACCCGGGTCCCTGGCACTGTGAGGCAACAGTGCTAACAACTGTAAGGGTACTACATAAATGCCAGTTATTATATTGTATAAAAGTGCCCCTTTTTGCTAGCTCTTGGGGTATGTTGAGAAATAAAATAATTGACGCACTCAACTCAATACTTAGAAGGAATGGTTGCACAACACACTGGCCGTAATTTGACATTAATTAACAAGGTTATCAGTAGGGAACCTTAGAAAAAACAAAATAGAAGTTTGTTTTTAACACTGGTCTACGTTTCCAAAGGTGACCTCTGAAGCACAGTCCAGTGGCAATGTAGAGGACATTCTCCTTCTAAGATGCGAATTCAGTTTCGGTGCTGTAAATGTTATTGTTTATTTCTTTTCTTCCATTCATTCATTAACTTGCCATATGCAAAGTAGAAATATTTCTGTTACTGTTTGTACAATGCAATCCTAAGTATTTTACTAATGTATTAACCTTCGGAACTGTGCTTTAATCCCATCAGGATGACAAGGATTTGGTTCATGAATTTGTCGTTGCTGAGGGTTTGACATGTTTGATAAAAGTAGGAGCAGAAGCAGACCAGAACTACCAGAATTACATCTTGAGAGGTAAGCAGTGCATGCTCTCCTGTCTCGGTGCTTTCCAAAAGGAACACATGGTTTGTTTCTTTTCACTGTGTGTACCAGAGCTTCTACAGACCTCACTGTCTGGTGGCTTCAATTGACATAGTCTGAGCAAGTTTTGGAATGAGGCCTGCGTGGTTAGGGTTGGTCTGTTAAGTATGGTAGTCACTCTCTGTAGCCAGCCTAGTAAATAGAAGCTTTGCAAATTTTTCACTGGCTACCACCAGATAGGCTGTGTAAGAAGAATATACAAGACTCACTTTGAGCTGCAAAAGCTTTGCTACAGAAAGATTTCGATCCTTCACATCCTATTGCAACAGGAAAAGAGTCTATCTTGGACACTGGAATGATATTATTTCACAAAATTATTTCAATTTTGACCTTTTGGAGTTGTCGTGAATTTTCATCCATCCGAATTGTGTACTGCTGTTAACCGATACAAAGCATTGCAAGAACGTCCTGTATTGAACATCTATCTTGTATTGAATCTCTTGTGATGACATTATAAAACTCTTTGAAGTTCAACAACACAGGATATTGTGTACTGCAGGGATGAACCTGGAGGGTTTCGGTGCTTTGTGATTTTTTTCTGAAGGAGAATCTTCACCTTCAACATTGCAGATGCATTCAGCTGATTTCATATGTTAAACATCTTAGCATCAATTTTAAGTATAGCATCACACACAGTCTCATTTTCAAATCCCTCCATGGATTCTCTCCACTTGATCTCTACAACCGCCTCCGACCCTACAAAAAGTGTTTGAAATTTCTGCATTCCTACAGTGTTGGTCTTGTTGGGATCTCAGGCTGTGATTGGTGCAGCATTGCCATCTTTGCCATTAGATGCTTCGGCTCTACTCTTCAGTAAAACTCTTTGATGCTCCACTTTACTTAGGATGTGCCTTAAAAGTTACCTTTCCGACGCTGTTTATGATCACTCATTCCGCAGTCTCCTCCTGGGGCTCAATAACAAAAATTGGTACCACTGTTAGTCATAAAGTCATACAGCACGGAAACAGACCCTTTGGTCCAACCTGTCCATGCAGACCAAATTTCCCAAACTTAAACTAGCCCCACTTGCCTGTGTTTGACCCATATCCCTCAACCTTTCTTATTCATGTACATGTTCAAATGTCTTTCAAATGTTTTAACTGTATCTGCATCTACCACTCTGTCTCTCTGGCAGTTGTTCCACGTACAAACTACCCTCTGTGAAGAAGTTGCCCATCAGGTCTCCTTTATCTTAATAAGCACCTTTTGAACAGTTTCTTCATTGCAGGTTCTGTACAAATGGAAGTCATTGTTGATTTTACACACAGCTCTCGTCTGTATTGCAACTGCTGCCCCCTTCTCTAACTTTCTTTTTCTCTCTCTATCTCTTACTGTTATGAATTAAATCTGAAGCTATTGTGGAGGGTGAAGCAGGGTCAAGCAGTGGAACTAATGAGCTTTTACAGGCCTTAAATGAGTGATGGGTTGCAACAGTATGGTGTGTGGGCTACATTTGAGGGGAAAAAGCCGACCAAAAGATCTGTGGTGTGTGCTGCCAGTTGCGTGATTTATCCTTGCTCCAGAAGTTTTTTATTTATATTTGGTCTGCGATGCCTCTGGTTATTGTTTGTTTTATCGGCTCAGTGGCTGGAAAAGCATTGTGCTCGTTCTGAAGTGTGTCTTTACTCCTGGAAGCTTACATTAGTCTAAGTTACTAGATGCCTGTGAGAGAGTTGCAAAGAGGAACATGAAGAGATTATGATGCTATCCTGAACTACGTGAACCATTCTGAACAACAACAGAGGTACACAACTGGATGGTTTTTGGAGATCAGTTACTGGAAATTTGTAACAAACTTATGGATTGCAGTTCTGTGGGAAAGTTGTTTTGATGGAAATTATTTCCCTTCTTTTTAATCCACAGATTCGATTACACATATTTAAGTGCTGACCATGAAGAGAATTACACTTAGAATCTTGCAATATTCTGTCATTTTAGTTTCTAAACAAGGGTGGGTGACTGGTTTACCTTCCCTTCCCCTCCCCTCCCCTAGCTTTTCCTCCCTACATTGTAATGAGTAATTAAACTGTGATATGAAATCTATAAAGCCATCCTCTCCAGCTTGAGGAAAGACGGCCAGTTGGCATTTCAAAGTGCCAGCTGTGTCCTTGAAGTTAATATCTTAGTTTTTAAAAACTTTATCCTTTCCTTGTTACAGCCCTTTCCGGATCTCTCCTATTCCCTGGTTGAATTTGATACCCAAGCCTGTGGTGGAGGTGGGGGCATTTAATTGGAGAGGTGGGGACCCTAATGCTTTCCTACCACTTCTCTGAAGTCAATGGCTGGAAGGACTCTGGACCAACTGGGAACCCAGTTCAGAATTTCTCCGTGCTCAATCTCTCATTGACCCAGCAGAGGACACGACTTGTCAATGCAGGAAGCCTGGAAAGTAAATCCTGTTGGGGTTTCCCTTGCTGAAAGGTATTTTGTCTCCAATTGGAGAAGCCAGTAGTAGAAAGGGGAAGGTCTGCTGAAAACCACTTTCTATAGGCAAGCCCTGCCTTTGCTCCTAACACTTCATCTCCTCCTCCTCCTCCTCCCACCACACTCCAAAAACCCATAATGCCATTCATGCCATCACTGCCCTCTAACTGACTGACTATCGATCTCAATAGGTCAGCCCCTCACTCTGGCATCTTTGATCCTGGGAGGGACCTCCCACTACCCAGTTAAATGCCTAATAAGCTCTTATTTTGATGGGCCTTGTTGATGAGAAGTGACATGGGGCTCTCAACTGGCTCTCCAGCAAGCAGGCAAAACCCCCATTGCCTCCAGTAAATATGGCCTTTTCAGTGTTCACTTGGTGCCCAGTACCCCTTTCGTAAGGGGCAAATAGAAGACCATGAGTTGATTCTCTGCCCTAACCAAATTCTGGTGATCTCTTGACTCATATCCAATGACTTAAGTCCCTTGGTACTATGCATAAAAACTATTCTTCATATCTGTGGAAAATGCTCCATGATCTGATCTACCTAATGTATGAAAGGAGATATATTCTAGTTTTTGATATTGTTGATGGAAACATGGTTTAATATTCCAAATCTACAATTAACAACTAGATCAATAGAAAAAGTCTTAAAATGTCACTGGAATGGTATTTTATCCAAGCTGTCATTTTATCTGATGGTTTGTATGCACATCACCCACTCATCAATAAACTGCTCTACTGTCCCAGCAACACTGGATGTGTAGTAGCATCCTAATCATACCTGGAGTGGCGTGTAGAGCAGAATTGCCTATATTCTTTTAAGTATGGGGCAACTAATATACCACCCTCTGTTGGTTGACTGGCAATCAGTTCCCAAAGAGTTGACAGGTGAGTGAGGGCAAGCATCTCTCCTGATCACTGTTCTGGCAATAGCCAGCCATTTGAAGGATGTGGTCAAGCAAAGGCTGGAATCAAAGGTTTGGAGACAAAGAGGACCGCTTTCAGAGTTTGCTCTTGTTTGCTACCTGTGCCTCCAATTATCCACGGATTGGGACAACTGCAGCTCCCACCCCTACACTCGGTCAGGTTACCATAGCTTCCCAGGATGAAAGCACTTCAGCTTGTTCACCAGGTCGATCGGGGAGGTGGTGAGTTGAGACCTATAAATGGCCATTAATTGTTTACTTAAGGGCCTTAATTGCTGCCACGCCAAAATGTTGCATCTGGATGTTCTCACGAGGCATGTAATTACCAAGATGCTGAATATCTCGCTGGGGCCAACTCAGATCATTATTTCCCCTTCTCATCACCACCAGGGACAGACAAATTGCATCCTAGGTATATCACGGTCAGACTATCTGTATGGTTGACTGGTCCCCAAATGACCCCGCCTCCCCTCTCCTCTCCCGTCCGCCCCCCCCGATTTTATAGATATTTTCAAAGCAATCTGTTCGGAGAAGTTATAACACATCCCCACTGCCACCCTCATGGGGCAGGTCTCCTGGGCCACAGGTAGGGACACTACCATTGGCCACATTACCTCCTTATTTATATTCAGATTTCTTTTGTATGCTCAATAGAAACACCCGTTCTGTCAACAAAAATAAAATCAATGTCAACTGTTCTTCAATGGATAACACTTCTTTGCCTTTGTTTCAGAAGATTAACGTTCCAGTCCTTTTTGGGAATTTGATTGCAATAATCTACACTAACATTCAGAGTGTAATCTCATGAGTGGTGCTTTTTTTTTTGGAAGAGCCATCTTTTGGATGTGATGGAAGATCCCATGACATTAATTAGGGAGGTGGGACAGGAGTAAGCTCTCTAGTGTCCTGGTGTTGGGAGATTAATATTGGCCAGAGTATCTGGCCACTATGTTTCGGGGAGCGTACATACTGGCGACTGCATTCTCTACGTTACTACAGAGATCAAATTAAAATAGTTGCTTTAAGCACAATTTTTGTTGTTCTTCCAGTTAAGTAAACTTGACTGCAACCATTCTAGTGGGTATGTTGAGTTTAATCAGAATGTACGGTTATAGCACTATGATTATAAAGCAAAAGACATGTGGCTGTGACAGCAGTGAGTACCAGTTCAAGCTGGTAAAGCTCTCATCTGTCTCCTTCACGCTGCCTTCTTTATATCTTCCTTACACTATCCACATGTGTTGGATTAGTCAATTAGTGGTTCTCCTTTCCACCACATGTTGCTACTGAAATCTTTTGGGAGATGGAGGGAGAAATGTTCTCATACTCTTTCAGGAGTGAGGTCTGTTCGTGACAAAACTTTGCTGTGCTGTGAAGGTCCCCTTTAAATATGCCCTATGATATGTCAAGACCTTTGTCCAAACCATAGAGCAAAACTCCACCTTCAAGCCTCTTCCACAGGCCTTTTGACCCTTGTGTGTAATTTCAATTATACTCCTGCAGCATCTTCCATTATCTCTTCCATACTATTCCCAATGAGTAATATCAAAACTTACTCACTCAAAGCATCCCATCACCAG